GACGAGGCTCTTCCCGCCCGACGTGGGCGCCACGTACACCAGGGCACGGCCGCCCTCCAGCACGCCATCCAGCGCGAGCGCCTCGGCCTGCCACGCGTGCAGCGCCGTGATGCCGAGCGTCGCGTAGTTGGCGACCAGCTGATCGTTGAGGCCGTACGAGGCGAGCCTCAGATCGTGGCCGGCCCCCTCCTCCGGCCTTGCCGTCTGATTTGTCGGCTGAGGCATACCGGACGACGACTTTGGCCACCGCCGCCACAAAAGTGGTCGCGGCCAGCGCGGGAAAAAGCCGGCAGACAATTTTGGTCCCCCCTTCACTCCATGCACCGAGGGTACATTGGCGCGTAAAAGGAGAGTCACGGGATCGCGCGCCTCCACCAGGAAGGACTACGCAGCATCCCTTCGAAGCATCCCTGACATCCCAAAAAATACGTTGCCGTTGGCGCAGCAAGAGAAACCGCGGACCGCCACTCACTCACTGCAACACGCCGTGCAGGCAGCCCGTGCCTTTTGGTGTACCCCGTTTGTACCGCGTCCTGTGCCCCCGAGTTCATTTTGTACAAACAAACACAAGACTCAAAACTCCGACGGCTAAAAGACGCCGCGGACAAATGAAAATCGGCGACGCCGAATTCTACACATGACAAACATGTGAACAGATCCACAGTCGTCTACTAAGAGCATAGCTATCGGCGCGACGGCCTTTGAGCGGAGGGTCTCGGGGAGCAAAAAGAGGCGCCTCCGTGCACAGCCCCTTGTCGCCCTTGGAGTGTGAAGGCTTCGTAGGACGTAGCCCTCCGGTCAACTATGTCTATGAAGATCCGCAGGACTGGAGCGAAAGGCGAGTGCTCCGTGCACGTGCCTGTTGCGTGTGTAACTTTCAGCAGGGACGTCAAAGGCTCAAGGGTCCGTCAACGGTCAAGCGCCATGCCAGTGACACCCCAAAGGCCAAAGTCCAAAAAGCAAAGTGTGACGGAAACGGTTACCACTTCGTAATTGCCGCAGCGGGAGTTTTCACGATCAGTTCCGTTCTAGCCCCGAGACTAAAATCCTAGGGTCGGTTTTGCAGCGCAGAAAGGTGCTTGTAACGAATATATAGTAGGGGGAGGGCTCCCAGGGCTTGGAGGTCTTTTCAGTTGCAACCATCGAGATCCACACACTAACACAGACGTCTGAAGAAAGGAAAGGAGGAGGGAACACCGTTTCACCTCGTGTGACATGTTGTATGGCCATCACACCCGAGAAGGTCACGGTCCCGAGAAGGTCGAAGAGAAGCGGCCACGCAACACACTACACACTCGACTACTTGCGCCCACGCAGCACGGCCTCGAGATCCACAGAGCCGCGCACGACGAGCTCACGCGCGCGGCCCATCAACGCGCTCGGGGATGGGGGCATCGGGAGCACGTCTTCCAGGAAGTTCGACCTGATAGACGCCTGCACCGCGTCTGCAACCTCCGCATGGCGGCGGAGTAGGACCGTTCCGCTTGCGGGGGGGACGAAAGCATGGAATGCAACCTTCCGCTAGCAGAGCGAGCCTCTCGACGCGCGTCGACGAGGATGGTAGCCATTCGAACCTGCCACTCTCCGTTCTGAAAAAGCAGTACGAGCGTCCGCACGCAATTTCAAGGTGGGCGCCAAAGCCCCGCCGGTACAATCGCAGCTCCTTCCTCCGCAGCGCCTTAAACCGCCTTCGGCGCTTTTTTGCCAATTCGCGCTTCGCTTGAACTGAATTGCGGTGTCGCACGAAGTCCAGGCAGTGGTCGAGGAGCAAGTTTGTAGCAAGCGGGGTCGCAACCAGGAGCACGGAACCGTCTGTTGCAATCAGAGAAGCGACCTTGACACCTGAGTGGAATGCCGCGATGCCGTGCGTAACCAACAGCGGGTCGTTGTTGACGAGTGGCGTGAGTACCATCAATGTTGGCACCATGGCAAAGGCGCAACTCTGAGGTGATTTCACGAGCATGCGCACCCATTTGACGCAGAGGTATCCGACAGCCGAGCCGGCTTCGTAGCCGCTGAGAAATGCAGAGTTGCCGCCGAGGGAGACCAAGCCCGGTGGCAATCCGAAGCATCGTGATCGAACGGTGCAGAGCCACTCAAAGTACTCTGTGCGCTCATCAAGAAGCAGGTATCTATGGCTAGCCCAAGACGACGAGCTGAGTAGTAGTATCGGGTAGCGTTTGAAATCAGCTGAACTTGATTTCCTTCCAGCGCCCAATGCCGCACCGAAAGGTGCGTTCCGACAAGCCGCAATGGGGCAACATGACCTGGTTTGAGCTCCCAATTTCGCAGCGAAAGGTGTGCATCGAGATTCAGCAAGGGGGCAAGTCCTTCAGGCCAACGCCAATCGCAATCGTTTCGCAGTTGGGGCGAAGTTTGGTCTTCCTCTTCGTCATCGATCGGCGGCGAGAGGCGGCGAGTGGTGACGCGAATTTCAACCGAAATCGCGCCACCCTTTGTGCACTTTGAGCAAGAGTCGCTCCTCGTCTCTCGCAATGTTGTTGTGACGGTTGAATTTTTGCCGATTTCTGTAAGCGTCCATTTTTGAATAGGTTTGGAAACCACCGAGGGGTACGATTCCACATAATTCATCCGACGGAAACGTGGCGATGGCACCTGATTCGGGGCGCAGGGGGGGGGGGGGGAGGATTTGGTTCTGATGAAGGTGGGGCAGCACCGAGGGGGATGGGGGAGGGTCACCGTTTGGGCGAGCCAAGGCTGTGGCGCCGACGGCGGCACCCTTGTACGAGGCTGTGAGGGGAGCGGCGGCGAGAGGGGGGGCGGCGGCGACGCAGGCGAGCCGCACACGCGCGTGACGGAGGGAAGCGCGGGCGGCGGGAAGAAGGAGGACGGCGGCGGCGGCGAGGCGCAAAACGGGGGCGGCGGAAGTGGGGGCGACGGCGGCGGCGGAGTGAACGGCGGCGCGCGCACGGACGGCGACGAAATCGACGGCGGGGAGGGGCGGGGCTGCATGGCGGCGGCGGACGCGCACACATTTGTCGTGCTTGCGCATTGGCACTCGACGTCCTCCTCGGCGACCTGCGTGCGCGCGGGAACGGCAGGGGTCATTTCGCGCGCACCGGGCGGCGCCGTGCTCGCAGCAGCCGGGATCGCGGCAGAGTATGGTGGAGAGCTCTACCCGCGCACCTGCCCAGCGAGGAGCGCGACGCCGCTCCTGGCAGGCGAGGCAGGGATCTCGGCGACGTTGGAGAGCGGGCGGACGATGTCGTGGGCGACGCCCGTCCGCAGCCACGTCGTGGTGACGATGATGGCGAGGAGCATCACGGTGGAGAGGAGCGTCCCGGCGCTGCTTGGGCTCGCTCGAGTTAGCGGTGTGGGCACGGCATGGGTGTTTTTGTTGTATCAGGGCTTGGAGGTGGACCTCCAAGAATATTACGTTAGCCTACAAGGCGGTCTCTCTCTCTGCCCTGCTCCCTGCTCCCGCCCCCTCCCCAATGCCTGCCGGACAGCCCCACCTCTCCCGTCGGTGCCGCATTTCGTCAAAGGCACCCGCCCTCGCCGCCGGGCGCTTCCTCGGCGGCCTCCCCCTCCCCCTCCACTCCCTCTCCTCTCCGTCGGGCTCGGCGGGCTCGCCCGACGTGTCCGACGCGGGCGGGGGCTGCCGCAGCGGAGGCACGGGGAGCGGCGAGGGGTGATCGGTGCCGAGGGACGAGCCGCCGTCGGCGTTGTAGCCGCTGCGGAAAGAGGGCGCCCCGGCTGCCGCGCTTGCGGCGAAAGGGTCGCCGGCGTCGGCGCCGCTGTGCGCCCACCCCCCACCCCGCCGCAGCGACACGGTTAGCGCCGCGAGGGGGAGGGCGCAGGGCAGGAAGAGGAGGCAGAGCCCACTGCTTACTGCCAGCAGGAAGAGCAGCAGGGGCGAGGTGAGCAGCACGCCTCCGGCAAGCGCGATAGCGGCGCCGGGCCTCGCCGCCGCCCACGCCCACGCCCACGCCCCCGCCGCCTCGAGGCTGGCGGCGCCGCTCCGGAGGAGGGAGGGCAGGTGGAGACAGAGGACGTGGACGCAGAGAGAGGTGCAGAGCACGGGAAGAGTGAGGAGGAGGCCGCAGCCGACGGCCAGGCAGGCGACCAAAAGGAAGGGCGCAAGCGTGACGCAGCACGCCGCGAGCGTCACCAGTGCGAGCGGCCGCGAAGACGCGGCGTGCGAGGCGCCCGCGATGGCGACCGCGCCGAGCCCGATGGCGACCGCACCGGCCGTGTCGATGAATGTCGCGGGCGGCGCACGCCAGGTGTGCCAGGCGCGAAAATGCCCGGGGTGCGATGAGGGCGGGACGCTCTGGGGGCTCGCGCTGGCCGATGCAATCCGCGCCATACTTGAGTAGGATTCCTGCTCGAGTCGCAAGTCCCTTGCCCGCCCCCCGCGACAGAGGTGGCGGAGGGAGCGTGCCAGCTTCACAGCTGCTCCTGTGAGAGGTGCTGGAGCAGCGATGCAA